GTTCTAATAGAATTTCTACTAATTTTTTTACAATTCCAATGACAGCTTTTTCAATCGTTAAAATATGGTCGAAAAAAAAATCAATGAAAATTCACACAACAATAAATAATGGTAATTGGAATCAATAATTCCACTAAAATTCAAATGTAATTAATTTGATCTCTGTTGGAATGATCAATGAAATTTTCAGATGAAAGATATACTAATCAAATATCCATAGGAATTTTTATTGGGAACTTTAGATTTTTCATTGCAATATAGTAATTTTTTTATATTCTTTTTCAAACATTAAAATTTGTATGTAGTAACTTTCGTTATTAATTAATTGTGTTCAAAATTTTTCTATTAAAAAAACAAATGAACGTTTTAATCCATATTATGTTTTTAAAAATCACTCATTATTTTATCTCAATATTACCTATTAATTACATATGTAATATGATATTTGTATATTTGTATATATATTAATTACTTGTGATTACAAATTTTCTATTGAAAATATATAAAACATATGAACTTTTTAGTCTATATAATCTATATATATATATATATATATATAGGTAAGGGATCATATGAGAATGACTCTTAATGCGAGAAATGAGAATGATTATAAATCATTGGATCGGTACAATCAATGGACATGATAAAGTCAATTTTAATAAATAATGGTCAAACAGACAATGGCAATATCGTAAATAAGTGTATATGTAATGGTCAAATGTATAGATTTGTCCACTTAATAAGGATACCCTAGTAATTGCACAATCCTCCACTATCTCATGTGGGCCCCACCATATACAACAACTTCCCTACCTCTCTCACACACAAACACACACTCTCTTCTCACACACACGCCCTCCGCCCAGATTACACAGACCCACACAAAATAAACACACACCCACTTGGATCCGCCGGCGGTGTCTCCGGCCACCACCTTCCTTCCGCCCGCGTCGCCGCCTTCTGCCATTTTGTGTCGACGGCCACCGAGAATAGTTGCAGGCGGCCAATTCCGGCACCGACCAGCACAACTTAAGCGTCAACAACCAAGTGACGGCCAACTCCGTTCGATTCCGTCGCCACCGTCCTCCACCACCGTCACCAACCGGCCGACAGATCCCGTCCACATGTCGCCCCACCTTCACATTCCGACCACCGTGCATCACCAGATCGACAGCGCGATTCCGCAACCAACCGTCGCCACATATCCAGCTCGGCCGCCGCGGCTCTCCAGCCATACCGCCGCCCCTCCCAGCCCGATATCCGCGCCTCCTCATCCTGGCATAGACGACTCCACAGCCCCGATTCGCCGTCGACCATTCCTGGACGACTTCGGTGGCCTAAAAACACCGATTCGGGCTCGAGCCTGCGGCGGCGACCTTCCCGAAGAGGAGAGGGATGACCAGATTTCAATTTTTTTTCTCTTTTTTTTTTCTGTTGAGGATGCAGATCGATTGTTTGATTTGGGGGTGTGAAATTTGTACTAAAGGTATGAATTGATTGTGATTCTTTTATGAAAATTAGATGAAGGATGAGGATTAATTTGAAATTTAAAGAACCTTTATTATAATATACTTTAAGTAATGAGTTAAATAGTATATTATTAAAAGTTTAGTATATATGAAATATTGATTAGCATATTTAAAAAAATAAAGTCGACAATGAAATAACATAAACGAAGTTTTAAAATTAAAAAAAGCTAATTGAACCGATATATAAAATTTTGAATCGAAACATATTTTAATCCATCAAGTTTGATTGAATGTGTGCAGTCTGAGAGACACTAATGTGCAATTTAATTAACACTATTGTGCAAGACTTTACTCGCTAACGTGCAGTCCAACATTCATTAACATGCTATTCGTCTAACACTTTGGTGCACGGTGTCAGTATGTATTGTGCAAATTGAACCAACTGAACATTTATCCCAATCAAATTGAAAATGAACATAATTAATTGGTTTATTTGGTTTGGTTAACAGAATTATTCTAAATTATCTAAATAATTTGTTAACTATACTAAAAATATTTTTAATATGTTAAGAATTTTATTTATTATTTTTATATTATTTTTGGTTGAAAAAAAAAAGAGTTTGGTTGGTTTCATTCTCTATTCATGCAATCTTACAGTCATAAAGTGCAGGGTTTTATTTTATAAAGTGCAATGTATTGTTTTACAAAGTGCAACGTGTTGATGTATAAAGTGCACTTGTGCAGAGTTTTGACCGGAGTTGTCGACGTTAATGGTGGAGTGCTGTGATAAAGTGCAGCGTGTTGTTTTATAAAGTGCAAAATGTTGTCTTACAAAGTGCAACGTATTGATATATAAAATGCACTATCTATAATTGTATTGAATTAATCGGTTTAATCGATTCGTTATCCGATTTACCCTAAATCCCTGAGATATTTACCCTAAATATATAAAGTGCCACATAATTATTATTTTATTATATTTTCATTTTATTGGCTGAAATATAAAAAAAGTATATATATTATTTTTTATATATTTTTTGTCTTTCGGTTATTTATGTCATTTAAATAAAAAAATGACATCAAATCAAAATAATCGAGTTTTTTAAAAGTAAACAAATAAAGTAATAATAATCAAACTCGAAATATAATTTTTTTCGTAGCGAAAAATTTGGTTATGTCGTTTCCGTTTGATATTGTTGAATATAATAGTCATTAATGTGCAATTCGTATAAACATAATGTACACATGAATATGTAAAAAAATATAAATAATAATAATAATATTATTAATTTTCACATCGATATTATGCAACCTGTAAGTCATGAAAGTGCAATTTGTATAACAATAATGTGAATCCGATTGCAGGCATTTTTAGTAGTATGATCCACACCAAACTAAATACGATTTAATTGGTCGATATATTCGATCTATTAACCGAATTAATCTAAATAATATATATGATTTATTATTTTTATTATAAAATTATATTTATTTTTCAACGTATATATTTAATATTTTTTTTTAGTATTGACATTAAATATGAAGTGTGGTGATAAAGTGCAACGTGTAGACCAAAATGTGCAATCTGATAGTCACTAAAGTGCAATTCGCATAACATAATGTGCATCCGATTGCAGGCATTTTTAATAGTATGATCCACATCAAACTAAATCCGATTTAATTGGTTGATTTATTCGATCTATTAACTGAATTAATCTAAATAATATATATGATATATTACTTAAATTATAAAATTATATTTGTGTTTCAATGTTTATATTTAATATTTCTTTTATTATTGACATTAAATGTGAAGTGTGGTGATAAAGTACAACATGTAGACTAAAATGTGCAATCCGATAGTCATGAAAGTGCAATTCATATAACAATAATGTGCATCTGATTGCAAGCATTTTTAATAGTTTGATCCACACCAAATTAAATCAAATTTAATTGGTCAATTTATTCGATCTATTAACCGAATTAATCTAAATAATATATATGATTTATTATTTATATTATAAAATTATATTTATTTTTCATCGTTTATATTTAATATATTTTTTTAATATTGGTATTAAATGTGAAATATGATGATAAAGTGCAACATGTTGATTTATAAAGTGCAACATGTTGTTCTACAAA